GTTTCAGTGCGCATTAGGATAAGTATTTGCAAACTGGGTCCTGGGGTACCTAGGAGAGAGTCGCCCTTTTCAGGTTGTTTCTAATAAAGAAATTGTGTTGAAGCCTTTGGGCCTGAGTAGGATGGAACCTGGTACACGAAGATCTCAGTCACGAGGCACACATCTAAATGCCCACAAGGGCATTCACCAGAGAGGTCGGCCAGGTGGAGACTGCAGAACTGGAGATCACTTGTCCCACCTAAGGGACATTTATTACTCAGTGCCGGAAGCTCATTGGTATGTGGTGGTGCCGTAGTCCGACTGTTTGTGTCACACCCGCCTCTCAGTCAGTCCCGACTCCCGGCGGCCCTGTGAATGAGCGGGGGCCACAGTGTCCTGGCCTCACCGGCCCCACTCCGCTCCTGTGGTCCCTGCCTATGGCTCCTTCCATGGAGTCAATCCAGCTCACGTTTGCTCTTTTCCTGCTGCCTCCTATTCTCCCTCAGCATCATTGTCTTTTCCCAAAGGCCCTGCCTGCTCATGATGTGCCTGAAGTAGGTCAGCTTCAGTTCTGCCACTCTCACCTCCAGTGAGGTTTCAGGTTTAATTTGCTCTAGGACCGGCTCGTGTGTCTTCCTGGTGGTGCAGAGAATCCATAGAGCTCTCCCCCAACACCGTATTTCCAACGAATCATTTGTTTTTCCTCTCTGCCTTCTTCACTGTCCAGCTTGCGCATTCATACATACTAATGGGGAATACGAAGCTGTGGTTGATGCTGGCCTTGGTGTCTGATGGCACATCTGTGCTCATAACGATCTCGCCTAATTCTCCCATCGCTGCCCTTCCAGGTCTCAGCTTTCTCTTGATTCTTGAATTCCTCTGAAAGTTTGTGTACCCTAGCCCCCAAATTCTTATGTTGAAACCCTACCTTGCAATATGATGGAATTAGGAGGTGGGGCCTTTGGAAGGTGATTACATCATGAGGGTGGAGCCCTCCTGGATGGGATGAGTGTCTTTTTGTGAGAGAGACTCCAGGGTGATTGTGCCCACCTCCGCCCCATAAGCTCGCAGCGGGAGAGGCTGCCTGCCTGCCTCTGGGTCTGGGGTTCCCAGAACTGGCAGGAGCGGCGCCGCTCTCTTGTTTCAGAGCAACACAGTTTGTGGTATTCCGCTGTAGCAGGCTGAGTGGACTAAGACAGATGATATTGCTGGATCTTTTGTATTTGTTTATTTATTTATTTATTTTTAGGGGAGGCTGAACCATCTAGATTTTTATAGAGAAACTTTGATTGTAGGCTTTTAATTTGGAAGCCATTTCAAACTTACAGAAAAACTGTAAAAATAATATGAAGAATTACCTTTTCCCACGTTCAGATTTCGCCAGCGGTCCTGACTGTTTTTTTTTTTTTTTTTTTAACAAAAGGACCCAGTCCAGGGTCAGATGTTAAATCTAGTTGTCACGTCTCCCAATCGCCTTCAGTGCGGACAGTCCCTCAGTCTTCCCTGGATTTTTACGGCCACAGTAATTTTGAAGATTACAGGCCAGTCATGTTGTAGAAAGTCCCTCAGTTTGGGTTTATCCGGTATTTTCTTATGATTTGACTCGGGTTTTTGGCCATAATGTTACCGAAGCGATGCTGTGTTCTCATTGTGTTACACCTGGTGCCACGTGGTACCAGTGGTGCCGGCCCGAGAGGAAGGTGGTGTCTGCCGGGTTTCTTCACTGTTCACTGTGCGTCCCCTCTGTAATTAGTGAGTGTCTTCTGAGAAGATACTTTGAGACCCTGTAAAGTTTGGTTCATCTCATTTTCACTTAATAATAATTTTAATAATCCATTGCTCTGCTTGCCCGAATGAATATGACTATGATGGTGGCCAGATGATGACACTCTAATCCCGTTGTTTGTTTTTCACTTTCCTCATTTGGTATTTTACTCCAAGAAGAGCTTTTTCTCCTTCCCATTTATGTATCGATGTGGACTCAAGGATCCCTGTTTTATGTAATGAGTTGTAATTCTTTACCGTCGTGATTTATTTCCATGCTGAGCTTGTCCCTGATTTGCCCCTTTAAACTGGCTTTTGTGCCCTTCTGCCACGTGCCCTTGCCCTTGAGCGCAGGGTGTTTCAGGCTCCTCTCCTCCTTTCTCTGTGTCGGACGTGGAATCAGCCATTCTCTCCAGGGAGCACTGGCTGCCCTGATGAACGGTGTTTAGGAGTCAGGGTCTGGGCGCCAGATGCACTCATGGCCTGGGGCGTCTCCGCTCTCGGGCCCTCACCACGGACCAACCCAGGAGACGTGGGTGTGTGCCTGCGTCCGCATGCACGCACACTGACCTCTGCATGTATTTTACACCTGTGTGCCTACGGAGGGGGGAGGGGTGGCAAAAGTATGTTTACGGTTGCGAGTACACAAAACAGTTTATTCTCGTATCATTTTCCATAGAAACAACTGTAAACCTACTTTTGCCCTACTGTGTATTGAAAAACAGGAGTTCATATTCATACCTCCAATTCTAGTTCAGAACTACAAGGTTTATTCTAGCTTTTTCCCTTTCTTAAAAAGTCTCTCTGACAATGAGAAATCTCTCATTACCTTCAACAGATTTATTTATTTCATCAATTCTCCTGTGGGTAGCCAGTCTCCTGACCTCCCTGGTTATTGGCCCACTCAGACGCCCTCCTGGTGTGGACTTTGACGCCTGTGGGGCCACCTGGTGTGGGTGACGCCCTTGTGCTGGCTCTGGGCTGCCTTCCGTCCTGTCCGCCATCTCCCTCACCTGAGCCCCGGCACCACTGGGCTGCAGGGAGGAAAGTTGGCCAGGTGATCCAAATTTAAGGGGAAAGAAACGTTTGCGGGTGAATCAGAACTTGATGGGACCAATGGAACCACTGGTCTGGATAATAGGAAGGAGATGTTGCAGGTGGTGGTCAGAGCCGCTGTGGTCTGTAACACAGGTTTCGGTGGGAACCCTGAGACCTCCCGGGTCCGGGGGAACGATGAGCGTGTACACCCACCTTTCTGCTACGCAGTCTTCTCCACGTCCCGTCGGGCCAGGCGAGGAACGGACTGTAGCACCTTTGTCCTTTTGGGTAACTTTTCCATTGAGTTTGTGTGTTTTTCCTCCTCTAAATTTTACTTCTTACCACTTCTCACCCTCCATAAAGGTCTACTCAGGCACTAATAATCTTGTTTTTGCTGGGGTTCGGAATGTAAATTCCCTAGCAGAAAGGAAGATTAGGAAGAAAAAAACCTCATTTTTGAGAGATGCAGTCCTACTGAAAAAAAAAAAAAAAAAAAAAGTACGTAGGGATGACAGATGTGCCGGGTTACAGTGAACCACCAGGCTTTTGCCAACCTTTTCATGTTGTCGACGGAATTAGATCAGTGCTCATGTTCAGCAGAGATGAAAACCTCTGTCTCTGAAGCATAACCTTTCCCCTCCCTCGAAACCATTCTTCTTTTGAGGGGAGGATGGCAGGAGGTATGTCACTGTGAGGTAATGTCTGGGTGAGGCAGGCAGCCTCCATGGGGTCAGCATGGGCCCCCTTTGCCATTTACAAGAATTCAGAGAATGACTGTCTCCCACTTGCATGGGGAGGTCCGTAGAAGAATATAGATGCATATATAGAGACAAAATGTACTCACCGTAGAGTGACGTGACTAGAAGTTAGGGGATAACTACTGGAAGTTTCTGGAAGTTTGAGGTTCCTCTGAGTATAGACTTAAAGCTCATCAAACTCTTGCGCCTTAGCCATTCATGCCTGGTCATCCTTTTCTCTTTGTCCACATCCTCCTTCCTGGCCTCATGTTTGTTTGTTCTAGTTTTGTGTGTGTGTGTGTGTGTGTGTATGTGTGTGTGTGTCTGTGTGTGTGTTTTTTTCTTCCTTTTTATGTATTTCTTGTACAGGGAATTAGGGAGTGAATGCCCTGGGGATGGGTGAGAAGAAATAGACAAGGGAAATTTTTAAATGCTGCCCTTTTAAAAATTTATGTTGACTTCATAGTCCGAGTGAGCATATGTAAATAATTTGTAAATCGACTTCTAGGATTTTTTTTTCACACGCTTGGATGTGCCTCTGGGGAAAACCACTTCAGTGAAGGGCGACCCGGTTCTGGTGGTGTGTAAACAGGGCGGTACTCACCAGGACCGTGCGGCTCCAGTGTCCTCTATGGATGCTGAGCATCACTGGAAAGCTCTCTCTTCCCTGCTTGCTTCCTGCAGGGCCGGCGTGTGTATTTTATATCTCTGTCTTCTTTTGACCGTAGTCCAGGATATCGAGTTGCTGCCCTGTTTTCAGTGGGCGCCATGTTTAATCTCTCTGTCTTCTGTCTTCCTTCCAAATTCAGGAACTGGCCTCCCACACTGTGCTCATACTTAGGCTATTCTGCAGACTTAGGCTTCGTCTGCTGTTAGTGCTGCTGATGTTGTTGTTCTCTTGAAATGAACTTTATAGATAAGTTCTGTTGTTTCTTTGGGTGTGAGTGCTAAGTCTGTATATTGTTAAGCTGTGCTTTTTGTCCTCTTTGCTTAATATTTCCCACACAATGCTTTAGTGCCAGGTACCGTGTGGGCGCGCACTGGGTGTCTTCTGGCCAGCTAATGCCTCATCGTCACCCACAGCACCCGACACACAGTCTCCCAGGCTGTGAATGACTTATTTTCACTTTCATCCTTCCTACTGGTCTGAGATTCTGTGTAAGAGAAGCAGCATCTTGTGGTTAAGAACATGGGTTCTGGAAGTCGGTGTGATTTGGGGCAAGTTACTTAATCTTTCTAGATCACATTTTAATTTTGATACCTATTTTTAAAAATTAGATATAATGTTACCTACTTCAGAGAATTGGTTTAAGGATTGAATTAAATGTCATGTTATAGTCGAAACCCTTGGCACAGGAGTTGGCACTCAGCGTTTATAAACGATGTCACCTTCCGTTTATTAAAATCTCCCTGATCCTGAGTCGTAGACTTTATTTCCTTGAAACTCTGTTCCTGGCATTTAACCTGCGTCCTTTCCACCAGGTTTGCAACTGTGCGATATGACCAAGGAGCCAAGAACATTCGGAACCAGTTCATGCACCTGACGAACTACAGTGTGAACAAGAAGAGCGGGGACTACGTCAGGTACTGGCTGCGCTCGAGCCGGGGCCGGGGGAGACCGTCTCAGGGGCGGCTGCTGTAGGAGTGGAAATTCAGCACGTGGCACTGGAGGCAAACTCTGTATTCATATCCTTCACCTTAGCGAAAAGCTGCCAGGCATTGAACACAGTTCTGAGGCAGCTCTGCTGCTATTTCTCCATCGCCTACCCAGTGACAGTGTCACCTTTCACTGCCAAAATGTGCCTTCCCGAATTTCATTTTCCTCATTGTTTTCCCTCACCTGATGTAGGGGCAGGAACTTTTTTTTTTAATCCTCACCCGAGGATATAGTTACTGATTTTAGAGAAGAAGGGGAAGGACAGAGAGAGAAGAACATTGATGTGAAAGAGAAACATCAGTTGGGTTTCCCTCTTGTATGTGCTCCAATGGGGATTGAACTCACAACCTAGGTATGTTGTGCCCTGACTGGGAATAGAACCCACAACTTTTTGCTGTAAAGGGTCCAACCAACCGAGCCATCCTGCCAGGGCTGGGGATGGGAATTTAATACTCATATGAAACTTTTTAGAAATCAAGACATGAAGTCATTTCAGCACTTGGCAAAATGTATCAAAAGCTTTAAAAACGTTTGTGCTTTGACCCAGCAATTCCATTTCTAGGAACTTAACCTTAAGAGGTAACAAAGGATGTGCATCCAAGATCATAGACGAGAATGGCCACGACCGTGTATTATCTGGCACAGCCAGCAGGTTCCTGGGCAGTACATGCACTTATTTTCTTTCTGAGCATACACAATAACTAAAGTTGTTTATTTTTGCTGAAGGGAGGGGAAGAAAACCAGAAAAGATATATACTAAAATGTTAACTGTAGTGGATGGGATTATGAATGGATGATTTCTGTTTTCTTCCTGGAACTTTTATGTATTTCCCAAATTTTTCTAAAGTAAATATTTGTATGATCAGGAGGGGAAGAACGTAGGAATAAATTAAATAAAGAAAGAAATGAGGCCATCTCAGAAAAGGATTCAGTGGAAGGGAGTACCAGCCCAGCTGTGTGGAAATATTCTTTCTGCTCTGTTTTCTTTCATTCTGATAATTTTGCCAGAAAGTGGGAAAGTAAGAAAAAACTCAAACAGTTACGTTCTACTCAGACTAAAAATAAGTGCCTACAAAGTCCAGGGGAAGAAAGGAAGGAAGGAAGGAAAAAAGGGGTCTGGAAGTGACGGCATGGTTGCTGAAGCTTACACAGATCTCACTGACCGGGGACCGGTAGTGGGAATTGGTTGACAGTGTGCCCTTCACTTTGGAAGATGAGCGAGGAGGTGGGTGGTGGGTGCTGGTGGGGAGTAAGGGGGCAGCTGCAAAACATAAGTTCAAGGCTGCAAGACCAAACAGTCATGGGAGTCCACCTGGTTTGCCGCTTGGCTACCAGGGTGGTGGCAGGGGTGGTATTCGCCGGGACACCTTGATAAACCTCATCGTGTTTATTGTTGTTCTAGTGCGTTCTCCCTTCAGTGATAGGTCAAAGGTATTTTTAAAAAGATACGTTTGCCGCCAGAGAGGAGGGAACTTGCTTCAGGTGCTACAGTAGTGCTGCGCTTGGTTAGCTCATTGAATGCTACACTGTCTTATCTCACTGGCCCGTCCAGACTCAGTTTGGGTCTGAAAATGGCATCAGAGGTTGTTTTGTGGGCTCATGTGATATTTACCTCAAAAGCTAAGTTTTTTCTTCAAATGTTTCGATCTGTTAATGCATTGTAACTATTCTTAAGCTTGCTTACATTCTTTCACACATTTCTTTCACTCCTCCATGATGCATAATTGCTTGGTTAAGGAGGAATTGGCCTTCTCCTCCCCTATATACCTCAATAAGGCAAGCTCTATGCATTTTCATTTCAATGGAAGAAACTGGTATAAAGTGATATATGAGGTCTATCTAGCAAAAGTCCAGACATTATTAATATAATGAGAATGGTTTGAGGGACATTGATATAACTTGGCAGCCAAGGAGAGTGGACTGGAATGCACATGTGTGAACAATGACAACTTCACTGTACTAGTCAGTGGGGGCGGTAGATGCTGTTGAGTGAGCATGCATACCATGGGGCTGTCACATTCAAAATGACAAAACAAGTAGAGCAACGAATTTGCATCAAAGTTTGCATTAAGTTTGAACATTCCTCTGTGGGAACTATTCAGATGATTCGGAAGGCCACAGCCATGGGCAACTGTGACTGGCAGGTTCATCACGACAATGCACCCGCTCATGCATCATGTCTCCTGCAGTTTCTTGATGAAACATCTAATCACCCAGGTGACTCAGTCCCGCTATGGCCCAGATTTGTTACCTTGTGACTTCTGGCTTTTCCCAAAACTAAAATCACCTTTGAAAGGGAAGAGATTTCAGACCATCCATGAGACTCAGGAAAATACAATGAATCAGGCAGTTGATAGCAATTGGGAGAACTGTGTGAGGTCCCAAGGTGACTACTTAGAGGCGGTCTGAGGCATCATTTTCCTTTGTACAATGTTTCTTGTATCTTTTTCAATAAATGTCCCCCCCCCACATTACATGGCTGGATACTTTATGGACAGGCCTTATATGACAAAAAGGATTAAGAAATAGTGGATGAGGTGGAAGTCAGCAAAAGGAATGTTTTTCTAAAGATTTAAAAGGACAAGAAAGCTATTTATAAAAAAAAAAATTAGTACCTACAGCCACGCCTAGTTGCATATGTGACCTTGATCCATTCATTTGTTTTAGTTGTGATGATCCGGAAGTGGAGGATTATGGGAACAAGTGGAGCATGAGTGCCATGCTGAGGTACCTGAAACAAGAGGGCAGAGACACAACTGGTGAGGACCGGGCCTCTTTTCTTGTTGCCTTCCCTGCTTTTTATGACTTTACCGTCGTCTCTCCCTGATTCTCTCTCCCTCTGATTCTGACACTGTTGCCGAGACTTCTCACGGGGTCACTATTTTGGCTGTAAAATTTCCTGCTGTTTATGAGACAGAGAAAAGGTTTTCCATGATCCCCCAAGCTCCCTTTCTTGTTTCCAGTTTGAAAGGCATAAGTTTGTCTTTTAATCTTCAGTGAATTTATCCTTCGTGAATGTTGAACTGCTAACTCAAGTACCGTCAGCTTTTTAAATAACTTCCCGTCATATTGGCCCTCAGTTCCAATTTGTCTAAGTTAATCTCTCTCATTCACGTTGCTAAACTGGAGAACGGACAGTGGCGAGTGTGAGTGTAGGGCTTGCGATCAGAACGGACACCACCGAGGAGCCATGGGCGGAGCGGGGACCTGTGGCCCAGGGCCTGCCTCCGTCCCCAGAGGGAAGCAGGACAGGAGAGCTGGAGGGGGGCGAGGTTCCTTTTCCATTCTGTCTTCTGCTGCAGGAGGCCTGCTTCTGACCACATTGCTCTCGTCACAGATGTGCCTTCTGCAGCACCATTGACCAGACTGCCATGTAGAGACTTTCGGGAGGGGCGCACCTGCTTTTGTAGTGGGCGGGGTTGGAATCCAGTCTTTCTAATCCACGCATTGTAGTGTTTCTTCTTCTCTCTTGGTAGCGCTCATGGCCAGTGTGGAAGACCTGATCATTAAGACGATAATCTCTGCCGAACTAGCCATCGCCACAGCCTGTAAAACCTTCGTTCCTCACCGCAGCAGTTGTTTTGGTAAGGAGACTCAAGAAGCGTTAAGTGTTTTGTGAGAAGGGGCTTGGAATCCTGGGGTAGAGAGCTTTAGTGATTCCTCAGGGTACAGGAGTAAGGTATGTGGCGGGTTTTTATTTCTTTCTAAGCTCACGTGACAATTCTACGAAGAAGCCAGCGGTGAGCCTAGCTGGAGGTCCCCTGAGAACTAACTAGCTTTCTGTGTGGGAAGCAGGGATTGGAACTAAAGCATGGGTCTCTTTGTCAGAATGCAATCAGAAAAAGTCTGCCACGGACTGTACAGGAATCCAGCTCCGACAAATATATTCCAGAGCCCTTTGGCAGCCAGACTGGGAACTGGTCCAAGAAGCTCTGGCTGGTACCAGTATGTGCTCTCTTCATTTTCCGATGACTCCTCCTTTTCGTTTCAGTCTTCTCTTGAGTGGGTTCCCCCCTCTCCCCTTTCCTTCTCTATTTTCTTCCCCTCCTCCCCTCTTCCCCTTCTCTGCCACCCCTAACTCACTGCTTGTACAGACAGAGAAGGAATAAGAAAGTCCACAATTACTGGATCAGGAAGCCTGTCGCCTGCTGCCCACCAGCTGTGACTCTAGCATTTGCTTTCCGTGTGGATGTGCACTCAGTGGTGATTGCCAGCAAAGTCACGTAGGCTTTCGGCAGAGGGTAGGCTTTGCTGGTGAAACACACACTAGGGTCATTGATGGGAGGAAACAGAGTAATGCAGTAGTAAGACAGGCTGTCTTTCAGGCTGTCGGGCTTTCCTAGGAGGCAGGGTAACAGAAGAGCAAAGAACATGGGGTTTGGAGCCTGGCAGACTGAGGCTGAGACCCATTTGCACCCCTTACTAGTGTTCTGACTTCCGGCACATCACTCTGTTCTGTTTCCTCAACTATAAAATGGCAGTGACGGTGGCACCCACATCCTACGAGTACCGGCAAGGTCAAGTGAAATGATGCATGCAAAGCACCCGGCACATGTTCGGCACTTAATTTGTGCTCAGTAAATTGTTTTTGGTTAGTTTTGTAATTAGACATAATTCTTGGTCTCTTTAGTGGGTTGTCATAACAGTGTGTACTTTAGGGGCACCAAACAGAGGAAAGTGTTGAGACTGAACCGGGACCTAAAGTTATATAGAGAAAGAAGAGGTTGTGATATCTTTTTGAAATGCAGATATGTTCAGGTCTTCTAAAACCCTGAAAGGGGTCCTTAGCTTCAGTCATGACTGAAGCTCGATATAACTCAAGCGTCTGACCCTAGCTGACTTTTCTAGAATTCTCTCTCCCCTTTGATACCTTATAACCCGCTATACCGCTGAGCCCCCATGCCTTTGTACCTCTGTTTTAAGTTCTCTCCGCTAGGAGATTCTCCTCCTGCCTGCGTTGCATATTCTAAGACTCAATTTGACATTGCCTTGTCCAGGAATCCTTGTCTAATAAAGTGCCCCGCTATGTCTGCTCTCCCGTGCTATTATGTACTTGCTCCATTACATTCCTTTCCTATCTTACTGTGGTGTTTTGTTCACACATGTACCTCCCTGGTGGTCTCTGAACTTAGCTTTGTGAATTCTCCCGGCCCCTCTTTCTCTGTTTCCGCCAAACCAAACCTTCCACCATTTCCCTCAACCTCCAGGTCCTTTTCTAACCCTTTGCCGTTGCACCTGCTTTATCCTGTGTCTGAGATACTTTTCTCATGTTGGTTTACCTAGCAGGTGATGACATCTTTCAAGATGAAGTCAAGTATCACTTCTTTGGGGACGTTCTGCCCAAGTGCTCCAGTCATAGTGAGCCTCTTCCCATCTAGCACTCTGGTCACAGTCTGCAGTGGTCCCTACGTGGGGTCTGGTACCCATTCATGTGTCTGTTCCCCCAATGGACTGGAGGCTCCTTGATCCTGCCTCTCCCAAAACACAGCAGCATTTTTGGTTCTTAGAGGATGTTTAAGGAATATTTGTTGAGTGACTGATCGATACTTGTTTTAATTGCCTTTTGGTGGCCTGACAATAAGCTTCACAAAAAACCTGACTCGGTAGGGACCTAGAGCTCTTAGAATTACCATAAACTGTTTGGGGAGAGGGCGTGGGGAATGTAACTCCAACTTCAGAAATCTTACTAGATTAAGAAAATAGAAGTTTCTTTCCACATCTTCTTGGCTCTCACGTGAGGATAGGTTTCTTGGTATAAAAATCTTTATTCTAGAAATGATGACAAGCTTTTCTGAATGTGCCCTTTTCTATTTTGTGTTGTTGCTTGATGGCTTTTTGGAAGCTTAAGAATTTCCTACACTAACAGCATTCGCAGTTCCAATGCGAAATGAGCAGTGACTTTCTCTGATTCAGTGGCATAGCCCCTGGGTCCCTGTCCTCGGCTGTGGGACTCCTTCCCTCCACCCCCTGCTTGTGTTCCGTCTTAATAAACTGAGTGCATCTGGAGTTTTTTAAGTTGTTGACTGTCTTCTTGACTTTTGTGGTTCTAATTCCATTTCCTGTCAGCCCTGGGATTCCGTGTGCTTCATGAACCTCCTTCCACCAGATTGGATTTTGTAAACGTGTGTATATTTGTGTGAATCTTGTGGCCTCCCACTGATTCATAACCTTCCCAGGGGGTTAAGTTACAAGGAGTAAGCTGGATTTTTTTCTTTTCTTTTTTACTTGTTTTAGAGTAAACAGGAATTGAGAGCTTCCCAGAAGAATTTGGCTTGAACAGAGCATTGGAGCTTTTAGGGGAAGCCAGTAGTTCGGCGACGGGGGTCGCTCGGTCCTTTCGGTGGCTCTTTCTGCCCTTTCACAGTGTGGTGGGTCCTGGCCAGGAGCGTCCCGCTAGTGTCTCGGTGTCTCCTATCCCTCCTCTCCCACCCTCTCTAATGTTCAGCAGTGTTTCCAGGTACCTTCAGTCTTCCCGTTCATTTGTTTATCTACGCATTGAACTTGGTTTTGGTTTCAGTTTCTGCTGCATGCAAGGCATAGATTGTAAGAGTTTGTTCCTCTCAAACCAAATTTTACATTGGGCGATATGTACATATTATACCTGCATTGTATTATTAGCATTTAAATGTAGGCTTAGGGACATCACAAACCACGCCAAGCTTAGCCATTTAATGTGTTTTTTCATAGATTTGTACATCTGGAAAGGACTCAGAATAATTAGTCTGTACAAAGAAATCGAGGTCCTGAGAAGTTGAGACTCTTCAGGTTCTAGAGCTAGTGAGCCAGAGGACTGAGAGGAAAGAGACTCGGCGTAGAGAAAAGGGGTCAGCAGATGGGTTTTGGCAGTTAAGTCATCTTGATCCTAGGACTCTTGATTTATAGAACTTTTGCTGCCTCTCCCAATAAGACAGATTTTTGACAATGTATTTTTTTCTGCCTTCAGGATCGTGAAAACGGCTCTGACCCATGTGGCTCAGTTGGTAGGGCACCGTCCTGCAAAGCAAAGGGCTGCCAGTTAGATTCCTGGTCAGGGCCCCTGCCTGGGTTGCGGGCTCAGTCCCCGCCATTGGGGTACTTATAAGAGGCAACTGACCAGTGTTTTTCTCCCTCTCTTTCTCCCTCCCTTCCCTTCTCTCTAAAAATAAAATAAATAAAACCTTAAAAAAAAGAGATTGTGAAAATGTGGTACCATGTGAAATACATGCTTAAACAGCAGCCCTTGAAATATGCTTAGGAAATTGGCACTGTGAGATCACTGGCCACGAGACTAGCCTTTGTGACCAGCTGGACAAAAACAGCCGAACCAACAGGATGTTAACTGTTTTTAAAAGATGCTGCTGCTGACACTGCTGCCAGTTGGTTTGTGTATGTGTGTGGAGATGGCTGGGTGACAGGCTGTGGCCTCTGCAGCCCGGGAGCATGTGAATGAGCTGCCATGCCTCGTGCAGAATTGATAAGACCGGCTTTGTCTGGGTCAGACCCAGGGACCTCTTTGCTCTGGGCAAACCACGCTCCGTGTACATCTCTCTGTTGAACGAATGCTGGTTTGGCCTTTCATCGCTGCTGTTCTAGACTCTGTCACAGAGTGAGCAGACATTCTTAAAGGGACAACGTCCATAAATCTTTGTTAGAGGGATGAAAACGGGCAATATACCTCCTCCATGGATGTAAATTACTCATATATTGCCCACTTTGTTAAAGGAATGAAGTGTAAAAAAAATGTAAACAATAGAGTCATCAAAGCGTTCACTCTCTCAGACAGTCGTCTTTTCTGGTTCATCCCCTGCTCCTTTTAAACGGGAGGGGAACTTCACTGTAGAAGGGACTAAGCAGAAAACGCCTGCTGTTTGTCAGGCACTCTTCATTGGTGTTTTCCTGTAGTTCCCTTAGCAGTTTTTATTTATTGCTCATGTTGGTGGACAAGGAAAAAAGATTCAGAGAAGTTAAATAATTTGTCCTTGGTCACGCAGTTATTAACTGGCAAAGCCCAACGGGAGAGGCAGTTCTCTCTGGCTCTTCCCCCACACGTGCAGACAAGTTCTGGTGTGTCCGGCCACTGGTGGCACGCCTCATATCCTGGATTGTCCTCCCGTGCTCCTGTTCCTGCGTCTCAGGAAAAGTGGGGCCATCCTTTCTGGGTTATCAGGCCTGAAAAGGGGTGTCCTTTCTGCTCCAATCAACACTGTGAGTCCTAGGCACTCGCTCAAATCTACCTTTACACATGGTAGCCAGATACCATATTGATTTATGGGACTAGTTAACAAATTGGCCTGGGCTCTTTCTTTTATTTAGTTCCTTTTCCTGTGGGACCTTGATCTTCTTTTTTCCAAATTCTCCTTTTGGACCCCAGATAAAGACTTCCTCCTCAGGTTTTCAACTCAAATCCAAGGCCCAGGTGAAAAGAATTTCCTTTACACGATAGCATTTGAGTGACAGCTAGTACCCGCTGATGTCAGCACTTTCCGCTGCCTCAGGGACTACAGCGTCAGCGGGGACTTTGTTTCTGTGGGGGGGTGTTGGGTGGATTCCAAATTCGTGGTGTGCCATGCTTAGTGGTCTTTTAGGCCTTGGAGGCGTTATTAGT